GATGAAAAGAGAGGAAAACTATATGAAACATAAAACTGAGAAAGTGTTACCCTCTTCAATGGACACCTCAAAACTTTCCAAGGAGGAACCAGTCATCCGAATATCTAACAGCTTGTGATTAGAAGGCGACATGGAAGAACCGAGTAACCGTCGGAAACTTTCTTGCACTTGTTTTGAAGGCTCATTCCTATATCCAAAGGTGTATTCCTGCATATTGAATGTCACTTGTCAAAGAAATATAAGATTTAAAAAATAATAATAATATTAATAATAAAAGCGTATAAGATTGAAAAAAGAGCATAAGATATGACTCACCTGTTGAAACAAACCTCAACATTTGAATTTGTTCCTGATACCTTCAGCATAACCAAAATGGGAAAATTTTCACCACATTTTTACTCCTAGAGAATCCATGAATATAAGCTCTTTCACAAAGCATGGAAGTTCAAGGCTTGGAACCAGGAGAGTTCTGCACCAACAAGCCATGAGATAATTGTAGCATATCAAAAGGAGAAACTACTGCAAAATCAAATGCAGAGGCGCGAAAGATCACTAGTCAGTTAGAAAAGCTTCTTCACCAACAAGATATATGTTTCTGTATGACTGTATCTAAGTCTAATTATCAACCTGTCATTTCTAAACAAATAGTGGCCCTTATTCACCCTTCTTGAAAAATTCAACCAAAGGCATCATCTAGGTGCAATTTTATTATCTTTAGATAGTCCTAATGTCGATGCAACATCAATTAACCATGAAGAAGAAAGGGAAAAAACACCAAAAAAAAAAAAAAAAAACTTTAAAGTGTACGGAAGTCAACAATGGCAATAAGCTATATATACTACATACGACTCTTAATTCTTACGAAAAATAGTTGGAAACCAGTAATATCCAACACCACAATTAATAAAAAATGAATCTCTATTTGTGGGGGCCTATGGTGTAGGAACTACCTTTTATTAGTGTGTGGTATTAGACTACTGTTGCCCGTAGCATTGTTTAATTTTATGCGTGGATCAATACATACACTTGCTATGTTTGGAACTGAGAGGATGTTTAGTACCTAGATTCATTCTCTTATTCGAATCATGATTCGTGGTTCGCTACAATATTTTTTCTCACAAAAAATATACGTAAATCAAAAATAGTTCTAATCACATGATTCTAATCCATGAACCAAACGTCTTCTAAATCTAAAGTGGTGCTTTTAGCTTTTGCATAACATTCTAGGACACAATTGTGTTACATAGCCTAAAAGTGACTGGCACAAAAATAGTACACATTTAACAAAAACCAATGCACTGCAAAGGCATTGTTTGAGCTTTTAGGTTATGATTGATATTAAAACTAATAAAAGCACAATCATCGCAAACACACCCAATTGTATCATTAAGCTTATGTTAAAATTGGAGGAGGGATTTTGAGAAGAAAGAGGCATTTTAGATTATTTAGTAGAGAGAAAATTAGGGGGGAAAAAGAAAGGTAATTAGGGGGAAAAAAAGAAGAAGTTGTAAATGTATAGGGCCAAACATCGGCCTCGTTCGTTTCACTGATTCGAGTTTAAAATTTGAGTTGAAATGTGATTGTATGTGAGAGCTTTTTACTGTGACAAAAAAGTTAGATGTGATTGTTTGTGAGAGCTTTTTACTGTAGCAAAACTCAAATTCTAAACTCGAATCAGCGAAACGAACGAGGCCTTAATCTTTCCAACATCGGAAGAAAAGGAGTCAAAAATATTTGACAAAATGAATAGTATGTCAAATAACCATTTTGAACCTAACCAAAGCCTGTCACTCTTATTTGTATGAGGGTATAATTGTAAAATAAATTAGATTATACATTTTTTTTCTTCCTTTCTTTCTTTTCTACCAAACAAATATATGAAAAAAAAAGCGCCCTCCTTCCTTTTTATTTGTCTCACCTTTTTGATATTTTGCTTCTACTTCTTTCAATTTTTCTTCCCCATTAGCACAAGTTATATTGTCTTGTCATTCAAAACATTCTCTCTTTTTTTTTTTTTTTTTTTTTTATACTTTGGCTGAATAAACCATTCTCCATTTTAGAGACCTTCAATTCTAACTTAATTGCAAATGGGCATGTAGTCATGCCTTCTCAGTTATCACCCCTAGACCTAGTTGTTAAGAAATAAAAGGTGCAACCTCCAACCTATTATCTCAAACCAACGCAAAACGAGATTTTGGGTCAAAAAGTTGCAACCCATAGCATCATTAAAGTGGCATGTAAATTTTGTTTGATTTTGGAAGCTCTTTAGCCTCTAAATCTAATCTCTATATTCTGGTGGTCTAAGACAAGAACTATACGTTATGGATAATGGATTTCAAAACTGAGTGTATTTTTAATCACATACTTCTAGCAATATATATATATATATATATATATACACACACACACACACACACACACATAGATATATATATATATATATAGTACACATGCCATGTTGTTGCTGACGCCAGGGGTGAAAAATTACGCAAAAAATAATATAATTGAAAAAGAAGTTTGCTCAATTTGGTTCCACAGCATATAGAAAGGCACCAAACGACATTCACATAACTGTTTTACATGTGGTCCAAAAAACTTTGGAGCTTTATAGTACCAAAAAGATTCAAGTTTGAACATTACTTGTGCCTCACTTTTCTTCAGTGCCAAAACAGAACAAAAGCTTGCAGAGGAAGAAAATTCAAACGTGATCATATGGCAAGGCACGAATATTAGACTTCAAGCTTCGGAAATTCAAGAAAGAAAAATATTTACCTAAAGTCGAAAGAATGTTAATTGGCCGGTGTTGTGGAAGACTTATTGGGAAGCGTGAGAAAGAGAAATGAAACAATGAAGAGAATGACTTGCACTGTTTTGGTCAGGGACGAAGCCACTGCTTGCCCAGGGTGAGTCCGTTTGTTTCCTGTATTCATCCCTGATTCTGAATCATGATTCATGATTCTCTACAGTATTTTCTCTCATAAAAAATACACGTAAAACGATAATAGTTCTGAATCATGATTCTGAATATACGAACCAAACGAACACAAGTGTCCCTCAACTTTTTTTTTTTTATTTGCAATTTTATATGTTCATTTTTGTCAAATATGTAGATAGTCCCCCTAAAAATTAAAAACTTTCTTTTGTTCCCCAAAAATTGAAAAGCACTCATTGTTGTATAACATAAATTTTGTAAAAGCTCATATGAGATTTTGAGTCACACCCCCACTATATAATAGAAATTATAATTGTGCTCAGACTGAATAATTATAACATATACTATATCTCTATTCATGTAAAAATTATTACTATTTTTTCATAATAGCCTCGGAGAAAATTTTTTTTTGACTCCATCACTAATTGCCCCTGATCAAAATTCATGGCTTCGTCACTGGTTTTGGTAGAAGCCATTGCTCGTCACTTCTTTCCCATAAAATAAATAAATAAATAAATAACCACAGGTGCAGTTGGGAGATCTACAACATTTGGTATCTCTTTTCCTATATGTATTTTAATTTTAATGTACCATTTAACTTAATCAAACTAATTTGCTTAAGTTTCTAAGATGGAATAGCTTCTTTTATTAAAAATATGGGTTAATCTAATTTGTAGTCCCCAAACTATAGGTTAAATTTAATTTTGGCTCTGTCTTTAAAAACATCCTAATACGAGTCTCTAATTTATCAATATATTCATCCTTCTGCCAACTGTTACATATAGATCCCAAAAAAAAGAGAAAAAAAGGCACGTAAGGAACATTTGCAGCCTAATGGGAGAATTTTGTAACTTCACATGTTAGGTCGTGATCGTTAAGAAGGAAATCATGACTTTTTTTTTTTTTTTTTTTTGAGATTTTAACAGTCTGCAGATGGATGGAAGAACTAGTTTGAGATAATTTGATACATCAAAAACTCATTTTATGACGTTTTAAAAATTATGGATCAAAATTAAATTTACAGTATAATTTAGTTTAAAAAAAATAGTTTAACACAAAATATGTAGTAGCTTCTTATATGATGTAATTTAAATTTTAGAATTTTGATTTTATTGATAGTAAATGAATGATCATAAATCAATTTGTTTAAAAAAAAAAAAGTTATTCTGAGTAATGTTGTGGTATTATTAACTTGTTTATAAAGTAACAACCAACAAGTTTGGAAGCGGTTGACTTGTTAGTTTTTAATTGCTCAGACACCGAGGTGTGTATTTTGTTTTATCGTGTCAATCCGACTCAGAATAATGTAGGCCCTAGCTTGTTTCATTGTATTAGAATTAGATTGGTTACCGCTTCTGAAGTCTACTCACTCGCACTTATCATTTTTCATATATATATATATATATATATATATATATATATACACACACACACACACACACACACGGCTTAAATCCAAAATAAATGACATACTCAAATGCTAACTATTTAAAAGTGATATTCCTATAATTTACCTTAAAGACACGGCTTAGTGTCGTGTACGGCATAACAATATCAAAAAATTACATTCTGATTTTGTTATAGTTAAAAATTCTCACAAAAAATCACATTTAATTTTTTTTACTACAGTTAAAAACTCACACAAAATTACATCTTAACACGAATTGAAAACTCAAATTAGTAAACTAAACCTTAATGTTGTTGAAAATTTAATAACTATGCATACAGATCCATAGAAAATTATAAATGCCATGATAGAAAAATAGTCTTTACATAACATGAAAGATAAGAAGAAAAATGAGTTCATTTTTCAATATAATCATTTGTTTACTCACTTTTTTTTTTTAATTGAAAAGTGTCTAGTAATGAGAGTTAAAAAGAACAAACCATAACTGTATAACCTATCTTCCATTTTGCTAGACTACGATTTATATTATTTGTTACCTACTAAGTCACTATAATTGCAATAAATTTGATCTACAAAAGGCAGTAACGAAAAAAATCCAAACAACCAGATCTTCTCTCAACACAGCTCAACTTCACGTGTTTTTTAGTGTTTTCTCTATTAGTCTTATGAACTCGTCATTTCATCATTTACATGGGCGGTTACAACATATAATAAAGCAAAAACAATCAACAAAAACTTCTCGTTAAGTGTTACTACGAATTTAATCTGTAAGTTGCAATCTTGGCCTCTTCAACGAACATCTAGGCGACGACAACGCCGATGAAGGTGATGCAGACCGGTGCTGGCGCAATTCTAGATTACGAGAAACCGGGGACGACGATGGAAAGAGAGGCGGCAGTGACGACAATGTACTATTGTCATCTTCAAGCTTCTTTCTCTTGTGAAGTCTTTTATCTTGATTATCATTTCCTTCTCCTTTCATTACGAAATTTTTCAAGCGATTCACATCAGAAAGTTTTACTGGCTTCACTATAAACTCCTCTGCACCTTCCTCCAAACACCTGTTAATCAAATGAGAAAATCAAGCTATAAGTTTCCAAACCATTTTTACATAACCTTCTAGTATACAACATGATGAAACAAATTTTTAAAAAAAAAAAAGAAAAATTGCAAAATAAAACCTCTTTAATTTACAAGCTTGTTTCAACTTTTGGAGTTAATTAATCAAAATTTTTGAAGTGTAAGTTAATGATATTTGCCTAATCAAGTCGGAAGTGCAAATTCCAAAAGTTTGAACTATAACATTTAACATTGTCTAATTTTAGTGAAAAGTCAACAAATTGACTCTCAAACCCATAAGAACAAAAAGATCATGAAACAAATAGAAGTAGCAAGCACGCGTTTAAAGCATATAGTTGGTGATGACGAAAACAAAATTCAGAATCTACATGTATGAACTCAAAAAAAATAAAAATAAATACTAAGCACAATATTTTATAACTTGAAGAGATTTGACTAGACGACAAAAGTGTATGATTTTGTTAAGAATGTAACGTTCTTTCCCTGTTGTCTTTCTACATAGTTTTTAAAGTTAAGCACAAGATGTGACATGTAAGAAATAATTATATATAAAACAGGTGATCCATATCCAAGAAATCTAATGAACAAATTCATGAGTCACATTGTTTGGTAGCACTTTAAGTGGATATGTCCAATATTTACAACTCATGGGACAACAAAAATGGATTTATATCATATCATGTATCCTTAGGTGGGCTCTATACCACATGGATACCATTATACCAAGATATTGCAATCTATATGATATGGACAAGCGAAATAAAATAAGATATTGGCTAAATTTGTGAAATTTCTCATTTATGGGATCGGATCAAAAAAAAAACTATCATTAATACTGTGAAATCTTCATTTTTAAAAAATTGGAAATTAATAATAATTAAAAGTTTGGGATTAATAATAAGGATTAGTGCAAAGAGATTACATACCTATCAATACGAGTAAGGATGTTCTCTGACGACATTATAACCACGGGAACCTCTCTGAAAGCTGCGGATTCCTGTTCAAATTAAATGTAATCAGTTAAATATCTTAGATATTACCATAGCCAAAATATCAAACTTTCCCCAATAATATGCATCAAACGTTTAAAAAAAAAAAAAGGATTGTCTGATATAAATTCAAAGAAAAGACTTGGGCTTTTTTCATATTTTCTGTTATATTCTCCTCCAAGACAGGAACATTTCTCAAAATTCTAACTTGTGGGGAAAAAATAAATTAATAAATGGTTTTAATATTTTTTTAATTATAAAAAAAACCTTGATCCTTTTGAGCAGTTCATATCCTGTCATCCCTGGCATTGAGTAGTCCGTCATTATGAGATTTACCTTCAAACCCTGTAATCACCCCCACCAAACAACTAATCAAACCTAAATATATATATATATATATCAGAATAACAAAACTAATATTAGAAGGAAAATTGCTAAAAAAACTAACAATAAAAAAAAGAACAATCTAATAGAAGTTCCAAAATTTTCTTTCTTTTTCCTTCCTTTTTTTTTTCCTCAGCAACCAAACAGAGTCAATACAATCAACAATTTTTCTTACATTAAATCCAACTGAGTTCTTCTCGCCATCCAATCCCAGGAATTGCAAGGCTCTCGTCCCACTCTCCACAGCAGTCACTACAAATTAAATCCCAAAAACCAATTCACTTCAGAAAAATCTTAAAAATAAAAATAAGATAAAATAAAAACTTTTTCTTAATCTGAAAAACGATAACAAAACACCATGTCATTCAAGACTCTCACCTTTACACGACGAGATCTTAAGCAGCCTCTCAATTACCTTTCTGTCCACAAGACTATCATCAACCGCAAGAACATGAAGCTCCGACGGCGAGTCGCCGGAAACTTCAACGTTTTCCGGTAAGTTTGGCCGGAGAACTTCGCCCGCCGCCGCCATAATCGCCTCAACTAAAATGGGTATTGGAAAAAATGCCGCAAAAAGAAAAACCCACTTCCACAAATCCACAAAAACTCCAAAAAAGCAGATGGGTATTTTTGTTTTTTGGTAATAGTGATAGAAATAGTAACAGCAGTAATATGAGCTAAAATGGGGTTGTGAGTTGTGACTTGTGAGGACTTTATAGCGGGGGTGTTTGTACGAAAATGGGGGAAGCTTTTGTTTTTAAAGCAAAAGGTTAAAAGCTGAGATTCCGAGGATCCAATATATCTGAGAGATTTTCTCTCTGTTTGCAAATCTTGCAGAGAGGATTATCCCCTTCCACTTGTCTCTTGTCTTGTCAATTAAATTCGCTATTTATTTTATTTTATTTTATTGTTTTATTTTTAAAATATTATTGGTGTGTTGTGTACTAGTCACTATCAGAGAGGACAAATCGTATAACGTTTGCTCTGTGGGGTTACATTTTCGCTTGTTTGTCTTGTACTTTATTTATTTATTTTTTTTTTCTAGTGATTCAAGTTTTTTATATCAATGTGTTGTTTGGTTGAGGATTCGTACCCAATTTAAATTATGGTTCGTGATTTATTATAGTATTTTTTTATAAAAAATACACGTAAATTAAAAATAATTTTAATCTCATAATTTTAATTTATGAACTAAACGTCTCCTAAATTTAATTAAAAACACATTAAGTTTAAAAAGTATAAAAAAATCATTTTTATATGACGTATTAAAAATTTAGAGTATATCATACAAAATTGTTCCTATTTCATATTATGAGACTATTAAAAAACTAATCAAACTACAGAAATGCAATTCTAATTGGTGGAGTATAATTGTCTCCTCCAATACAAATACACATTTTTTATATATTTTTATTTTACCCCATGATTTTGAGAAAAAGAAAAAAAAATTGTAAATAGGATATTTATAAAACTAAATTAAGTAAATAGTAGATTTTAAAATTATTTATAGTAAATAGTAATTTATTTTATAAATCATGTTTTATTTATAACTAGTAAAAAAGTTTATTTATATTTTATTTATATGAAAAATCATTATATTAATTATAAATAAAATATTTATGAGATAAAATACTATTTACTTTGAATAGTTTTAAGGCCTCGTTCATTTTATCGATTCGAGTTTTCAGTTTTAAGTTTTTACAATAAAAAGTTCTCAGAAAATGTCACATTTAACTTTTTCTGTTCCAGTGAAAAGCTCTTAAAAAATGTCACATCTCAACTCGAATTAAAAACTCAAATTTATAAAATAAACGAGGTCTAAGACTATTAAAAAAATTACACATATAGTAAAATATATATAAATATGTATTTCTATTGACTTTGGTCTTTGGATGCTGTGCCAACTGCCAACTATGCGGTTATGGGAAATTTTCTTTGGAATCTATCTTTCTCAGTTCTCTCACTGCCTTTGTTTACATTTCTTTTCTCAACTTTTCCGAAAATGAAATCTTTTCTGGTTTCCACGATCAATATTTTTAAAGTGAGATCAGTCGTTAACAAGATTCGAGGCAGCTCCTTTTTGAACTTGACTTCCTGGATGCAGCAGGTAAAGTTTTTTTTTTTTTTTAATTAATTGCCAAGAGTAGATAAAGAATTTGTTTTGGAATGTTGATAATTATTTACTTTTGATGGGAAAGAAAATATATTAATAATGAGATTGAAGAGTTCCACAAAGAAAATAAAAAAGAAAAAACAATGGGATTGAATCATCTTGCGTAAATCTACGTGGATCTCATCTTAATTTAACACCGATGATATTAACTTTGAATCATATTTAAGAAAAAAATAGAAAAATTTTAAATATTAGGAATTTACAAATCTACTAATACCGTTCATTTCACTTGTATATCAAAACATTGGATTTTGTTATATTGGGTTTTCTTCACATTATAGCTAGGGCAAAAAAAAGAAAAAAAAAAGAAATAGAGCTGAATGAAAAATAAAAAGAAAAATAGAAAAACAATAGCGAACCCTTTAATAAGAAGAAACCAATATAATATATGGATTCCAACAACCATGCAATATTTCCACCAACTTCAATTATGATTTTCTATATATGTTTAGCGTAAAGCATTAATTGCATAAGAAATCTCGGTTTACACACATATTCATACAAGATATTGGCTAATCAAAACAGGTTTGGGTAGTACATATACATATATATACATGTGTGTGTATATATATATATGGTTGAATCATATTTTGTAATCTAGACAACTAGCTAGGATACAAATGTTCAAATAGAGCAATACTATAGAGATTGATTGGGTTGCCAAAACACTGTAGAAGTCTATATTTAGAATTGAGGGACAATACTCAATTTTGTTGAAGTGTTTCGGGCACGTTTAATTCGTTGATTTAAGTTTTTAATTTGAGTTAAAATATGATTTTATGTGATAGCTTTTTACTATAGTAAAAAAGTTAGATGTGACTGTTTCTGAAAGTTTTTTACTATAGCAAAACTCAAATTCTAAACTCGAATCAGTGAAATGAACGGAGCCTTCGGCCTCTTCATTTCAGAGATTCGAGTTTTCAATTATAGGTTTAGAAAATGTCACATCTAACTTTTTTTTTACTATAGTTAAAAACTCTAAAAATATATCACATCTCCGCTAGAATTGAAAACTCAAATCTACGAAGCGAACGCTGCCGAATTCATCTTCCTTTACTAATAAAATCAATAAGTCACATGTCAAATAAATAGATAGAGTAGCATCAGTAATAGAGTCTGCAATAGAATCTCCATTTAACATTCCTCTTACTAATTAAATGATATAGTTAAACCTTAGGGGATTCTTATATTAAAAATAATAGTGAGGATTTCTCAACGAAGGAAAAAAATACAACTAAATATAAGCATTCATCATAAATAAAGACCTCATTTCGCATCATTTTTTTTATTTTAGAAACTGAAAGATTTTTTGTTTTTATTTTTTTAAACCGAAAACGTGTTGGGTAAATAAATTTTGTTTTTTTATGTTTAAAACAAAAAATAAAGAACATATTTAGTGTCTACAATTTTGTTAATTTCCTTAAAGGAAAAAAAAAATTGTTTTTGAAAATACCTAAAACTTTAGACACAGTACTCCAGTTAGAACTAGGGGTTAATAGGCAAGATTTAGAACCATAATTGATGGTTGAGGTTGGGATTAGAGTTAGGAATTGACTAGAGTTAAGGTAGGAACTACAGTTAGAGTTGGGGTCAGGGTCGGATCAACACATACCTCAACCTCGCCCCGACCCATAATCATTATATAGCTTTATATTTAACATTATATTTAAAAATGAAAAAAATAAATGAAACATTGTGTTAGAAAATATTATATTATCTGAAAAAAACTCAAATTCTGACAATTTAAACTTTAAATTAATTTTTTAATTTAATAAAAATTTCACTATCATTCAACACTTACAAAATTAATTGCACCGTGAAACTAGAAAACAATGGATGGTATCGTAATTTTGATAAAAATATATATATATATATAACAACATTATTAGTTTAAAAAAATTTATGTAATTTAAACAAAGAAAAATATTTTTCACTTGGAATTTTATCATGTTCATCAATACTCACATAATGGCGAGTCTCACCTAATAAAAAATAATATTATAAGGTATATGTGATTTTGATAATGAAAAATGAGATAAATATGTGTTTGAATTTTTAACCTTTACTATTAATTAATATTATTTGTAATTAAATAATTATATTAGTTAAAAGAATATTAATTAAAAGTAAGGATAAAAAAACCAAAACCTAAGTTAAGCAATTTTTCCCTCACGTAATTGAAAGAGTCCCATGATATAAAGCCCATAAATGAGATACGACAGTACTTAACACTGACGGTGTCTTCAAACAAATTTTCCTTAAAAAACACATGTGATGGAGTCCATTATATATGTGTAAGCACGCACCCGGCCATTGGGTATTTTTCTCTGGTAACACACGTGCAGTGACGGAGTCAAAAATTTTTGTCAGTGGTGACTATTAACTAAATACAAATTTAATCAAAATAAAAATCTATTTATGCACTACAAATGAAGTATTAACATTCATTTCAGTGGAGACTTATTAATACTATTATAATATAATATCTATTATATATATAAAACTTAAAAAGGATAAAAAAAAATGAGCCCCCACTGCGATAACTTTCGCTCCGTGCCTCCTGCACACGTGGTAGAGCCTATAACATGTGTGTAGTTGGGATAAATCACCGCATGGGTGTCAAGCATAGTTTTTCCTATAATGTGTGGAAAATTCTTTTTGTCCCGACTTCATCCGACACAAAAGCCAGCCTCATTTTTAAGGCTTATTTAAAAATTATATTTAAATCATAATTTAAGTTTATTGGTAAAAATTTTATAAAATAAAAAATTTTAAAATTTAAATTCTTTATAACATAAAAAATATTATAAAAAAATTATAATTTGAGTTTAAATATAATTTTTAAATAATTTATTAAGGTCCACGTAGATTTCACAACGTGAGACCTGCTTCTTTGTATTTTATATAGATTCTGTTCATTTTATCGATTTAAATTTAAAATTTAAATTTTATTACAGTAAAAAATTTTAAAAAATAATCACATTTAATTTTTATATTATAATAAAATTTCTCATATAAAATTATATCTAACTTAAATTAATAAATTAAATAAGCCCATAGATAAATTTTCAATACGGAAATACTAGAAAATATGTCAATATAAAAAGTTTAAGAAAGTATATAGGCTAACTTTTAGTTATAGAAATTAATAGGTCATAACTTGTCAAGTTATGATTCATAACCAGATAAGTTATGGACAAACTTGTCAAGTTATGGTTTATAGCCAGACAAGTTATAGACAAAAATAATAATTTGTTAAGTTATGGTTCATAATCAGACAAATTATGAATAAAAATAATAATTTAACTTATTTATTAATTTATGTAAACTATTTACTTATTAATTTTAATTCATCTCAAATTTTGACATATTCTCCTCTTTCTTCCTTTCTAAGAGGACAAATAAGATTGCTCATGATGAATAGATGGCAGCACCAGCAGACAGCGGCGGTGGCGGCGTCAATGCAGGAAAGGGGCGACGGCCGGTCGAGGCATCAAATTAAGATGGCTAATGGTTGCCATCAACCGAAGACT